GTCGGACACGATTTGCCCTATAAAAGGTCATACCTTACAGACCTTAAGTTATTTCTTTTATCTGCTTGGAGTCAAAAAAGACATGATCAAGAGAAAATTGATAATTTTTCCAAAAAAACCAAATTTCTTAATAAAAAGGTTGTATATTTTTTAAATTAAAAAAATAAACTAACAGGAGATTAATTAAATTAATATTTGTCACGTGAAGAAATAGCTCACATAGTTGATATTTTCTTTGTACAGACACCAAATAAGAAAATTTGAGTGGTCATTTTTCGAGAATGGTCTGTACGATTTTATCGCAATAAAGATTTTTTGATGACTTAATGTATCTAAAATAGAAAAACTTAACAAGAAACATTTAATTCTCCTGCATATACCCTGTTTTTGAGCACTTTTTCATCACTGTGGGCCTTTACAACCTCCAGAAGTATTTTTTGGTGTGATCTTTGGGGCGCTGGAAATATTAATCTATATTTCTTCGAAAATGTAGCCGGCTATGGTAACTATTTGAGATTGTGTTAAATTTTATACAAAATAAAAAAATATATACAAATTTTTGAGAAAGGTCGATACCGGATCCACTTCTCGGAAGAAAAACTGTTCCAATGTTAAGCAAATTTCATACCAATTGTACGATTCAATATTCAGGCTCACAACCAAAGTGGTGCAGCTGTGTAAGAAATAGTATAACAAGTTTTATTTAAAAATTAAATAAATTTTCCAAAAAACATCAAAGCCAGTTAATAGCGGCAGACAAACACATTTCATTTATGCTTTCAAAATTTTATATTTTATGTTTATTTTATGTAATTAACAACAGAAACAAACTTCACTATTTAATTGTACCTCACAGCGAAAATGAAGGACTAAGATTTACCGTTATCGGTGGCGTCTTGTCGACAATTTTTGAATACAAAATAAATACCGCTATAATCGCAAGATGAACTGGTGTAATATGAGATGACATTAAAGTATTGACATTGGTTGAGTGTAGATCGAAATGAGTCGACAAATAAGTATTGGGTGCGCGAATTAATCATAAAACATTATAAAGATGGCAAAAGTCAGCGTGAAATCGCGGAAATGGTGAAATTGAGCCATGGAACTGTTCAGCATATCATTGAACGCCATATTCATGAAATTTGTATGCTAAATAAAACTAAGCAAAGAAGTGCTAAAATATCTTGGAAAAAGCTGCAACCCAGAAACCATAAGAAGAACCCTCAGAGAAGCTGATTTCCATGGCCGCACAGCTCAAAATAAACCATATCTCAGTGTTAAAAATCAAAGTGCTAGGCTGAAGTTTGCAAAATACCATTTATATAGAGATGAAAGTTTCTTGGATACCGTAATTTTAGCGGACGAGAGTAAATTCAACTTGATTAGATCAGATGGAAAGAGCTATGTATGGAGAAAACCAAATGCTGTGTTACAACCACAAAATTTATGTAGCACTGTAAAACATGGCGGAGGGCATGTAATGGTATGGGGATGCATGTTGTCTTCTGGAGTTGGAAATTTGCATAACATCAGTGGTACTATGGACAAGACTATGTATTTGAACATTTTAAAAATAAATTTACAAAGTGCCTCAAAATTAAATATTCTTGACAATTTCGATACTATCAAGATAATGATGATCCGAAACACAAATCAGGCGTTGTGCAAAGTTGGCTTATTTGGAACTGTCCGCACATAGTACAAGCCAAAGCGTAGTGTCCAGATTTTAATGTGATTGAGAATCTGTGGTCAGTTTTGGAATGAGAGATTCGAAAATAGAGCCGACTTAAAAAAAGCCCTACCAACAGAATGGAAAAATATTGCTCATGACTACAGGAATACGTTAATGGAATCCATGCCGAAACGTATGAAAGCAGTCATAGACAGCAAGTGGTATCCTACTGATTATCAATTAACATATGATTTAAGTATTTTTTTTAATATAATTAATTAATTTTTTTCACTGTCAGGTACAATTTAATAGTGAAGTTTCTTTCTGTTATTAATTACCTAAAATAAAAATAAAATATAAAATTTTTAAAGCATAAATGAAATGTGTTTGTCTGCCGCTATTAACTGACACTCATGTGTTTTGGAAAATTTATTTCATTTTTAAATATAACTTATTTTACTATTTCTTACTCAGCTGCAAACTTTGTCTGTGAGCCCCTCTAAATAAATTCCATTTTTTCGAATAGATCCGTCCAGAGTCAACTTCCCACCGGGTGCATACTCCAGACGCAGAATTGATTCTGAAAGTTGCTGGTTTCTACGATCAGTGATTTCAGCTCTGCGTTGATATGTTAGTCAGGACAAAGCCTTTTATATTTTTATGCACATATATATATGTGGGGCTTTGTAACCGCTAAAGCGTTTTTTTTTTGCCGAGCTCCTCCTGCAATTTGTGGTTTTGCGTTTTGATGTTTTTCCAACAAATGGAGGGACCTACACTTTATACTAAGCCGCCTCAGAACAGCTGATGGTTGTTTATGAGGACCTTTATTTCATTTCTGAAATACACTCGGAGGGTTAGACATTCCCTACCGAGGGACGACCGTTATTATAATAGAAAATTTAATTTTTTATTTAAATTAATTTTCAATATCTTTTTAGTGCCACCAAACCGGGACTTGAACCTAGGCCTACCGAATATCATATACATATATAGATAGAAAATCTGTTTATATTAATTCCATAAATATAATTATGTAAATGGCACAAGAAAATTAGGTATAAAAGTGGGCTAAACTAAGAAGAAAAGAAACGAAATTAAAACCAACGCGTCTAAAATGAAAAGCTACAAAGGAAATTTAATGCACTGGCTCTTAGCAAAGCTCAAACACAACTTAAACACGTGCAATAATAATAAAAAAAGACTGTTAAATGTACATAAATACATACATACATAAATAACAACAAAATGTAATAAGAAAGTAACAGTATAACAATAACAACAGCTAAGTAACTACAACAAGCAATCAAGACGATTAATTAGTGCATAAAACGCGCATAAATAATTAACATTACCGTTAAATGAGAAAATCAAAAGACATGAAACACATGCAGAAACCACAGCAACAATATCCACACACAGTAACATAGATATGTTCATACATATGTATACATACATATATTAAATGAATATGCATATTAAAATCATAACTACAACACTTATATTAACCACTAAATGAACGAAATAAATATTAAATTATATGTATGTACTATTTTGTATGTTTGTGTATGCTAAGTGCTTATAACTCTCAATAAATTTCGCTCAGTGCATTCACACAACTGTGTACATGTGTATGTAAGTTTGTGTGTACTGTGTACATCTGATTAGCTACAGTTGATCTATTGGCAATTCGCTTTCAAAATAGTTAAAAAAAAGAATGCATTTGAAGCAGAAATATACAAACAAATATACAAATGTTTACATGTTTTTTTTGCATTAATGCAGATAATTTTGTAATTAATTAAAATGCACTTTTTTCATTATTTAAAAAAAAAGACTGTTTACATGCTAACAATTGTATTTCTGCATTGCCTGAATGTATTTATGTATGTATGTATGTGTGCATGACTAAATACAATGCATTTCTAATGCAACAGTTTTATTTTTTATATTTTAAATATTGTACATTTTTCCATTGAATTATCGTTGTTATATATATATCAAGTAAAAAGTCGTTCGGTTTTTCCGATTTAAGTCAAATATGCGCCGTTTTGTTCGTAAACTTGTTGTCAACAAGATGCCAACTTCATTATACCCCTGCGTCCCTATTGGCAAAAAACTCGGAGAGCCTATTTTCACAGGCCTCTCTTGGGTCCAACTTCTCAACATTAAGCGCATTCGCCAGAAAAAGATGGTACCCACTTGGTGCCAAATCCGGACTATTAGGTGGGTGCACTAGGACCTCCCATCCGAGCTCCTGGATGAAACACAATTCGGCCTCTGTTGATCATAGATAGCCTCTTCTGGATGAGTGCTGCCTTCAAGCGGTCCATTTGTTGGCAGTAGAGGGCGGAATTGAGCGTTTGCCCATAGGGGAACAACTCGTAGTAAATGATTCCTTGTCAATACCGCCAAACACACAGCAAAACCTTCCTGGCCGCCAATCCGGTCTTTGCGACCATCTGGGCCGATTCCCCTAGTCGATTTTGTTGCGATTCAGCAGTGATTCACAGATGGGAATTCGGGCCATCATGTTTTTTTGCGTCAGTTCGTGTGGCAGCCAAACATCGAGCTTCTTTTTGAATCTAAGGTTATGTAAATGGTTCCTAACGGTTTTCTGTCTTATCTTTAGCTCCTCAAAAATAAGTGCCAACGCGATGGTTTGTTTCCACTATTTTGTTATGATACAGCAGCGATGAGCCAATGGAAATTCCGTTCTTTAGGGTTTTTCTTCTTTTGTTGCTTTTTATTGACACTTTGCCGCTCGAAAATTGGTTTTTCGCATCGTGAAACAAATTTTGCATCTACAATGGATTACTGGAACGAGATCCACGAATTCACATATCCACACTATTCACATTTTCAGCTTCCTGACTTTCGTTTTTGGCTTTTTTCGAAGAAGATTCGTTCAATACAGTTAGAATATCTCTTTGCTAGTGTCTATCTCTGACATGCGCTCATACACTACTGAGTTAGGTGATAAACACTTCTTCCATTATCGTTTTTAGCACAAAATATAATTTTTCTAACGCTACTTAGAATAATCCAATCACACTAGTAGAACATGAGTTACAGACCCCCAAAGCCAACTATTCCAAAAATAATGGAATATTTTTTACTTTACCAATAAAATAATCCAATCTAATGCACTTTCATTGCAGTTAAAAAAAGAAGGGACAAAAAATCGTAGCTAATTTGAAGTAAAAGCTGTAAAAAAAATTATGCAACAATTATTAAGCTACTTGAAACTACAATAAAAACAAAAATAATAATAATAAAAAGAAAATTGCTAAATGAAAAAAATAATCGACAGTAAGAAAAACAACAACAGTAATAAATAATGCAAACGTAAAACTGAATTTTTTGCACAAAAAACAAAAAAAAAAAACGATAACTGCAATTATAGTGAGAATAAGAAGACGCACAAAAAAACTTCCAACAACAGCCAAGAAGGCGCAAATTAACCAACTATGAAAGCAACAATTAAACAACACGTTGAACACGTTGTTTTTCGAGCCAATTTAAATCAAAACCAAAATCAGCCCACATTTTAAACAACAACAACAATAGTAAACAAAGAAAAAACGCGTACAAATAAATGAAAAACGCGTACAAATAATAATAAAATGAGAAAAAAGCATACCAAAGAAATAAATTAAGTAAAATCCACAAAAAATTATTGCTGAGCTGTGGAAAATCGCACGAGTAGCAACATTAAATATATAGTAAATAATAACAATAGCAAAAATTCCGCCAGCGCAGCTGTTTGTGTGCGCGCACGCCCATCTTGCCAGCCACCGCCACCAGCCACTCTGACAGCCAGCCCTACGACTGTGAAAAGTTGCCTGCCGCGTGCACAGCCGTTGCCGCTTATTTTGATTGCAGAAGCAGAAGCGTTAGGCCACCAACTTGGCAACAACACTGTTCAAGCTGGGCTACAACAAAAATCACCACCACTACCACAACATCAACAACAACAATAAGCACAACACTTACGACGGCTCAGTCTGAGCTCGTTGTGGCTGTGCAACAGTTGGAATTGCCCCTATTTAAGCCCAACTCAACACGGACGGACAGACGCTCCGTTACGCTGAGCGCACGCCGCATGCCTGCCCGTGGATGCCCGTATCTCTGTTGCATTTGTATTTCGTGGCTTTGCTTTCATTTTTTCGCGCTTTGACTTTTCAATTTCCAACGATTTTTTTGTTGTTTGTTTAACTGTATTACATTTTTTTTTGTTTCTGTTTTTGTTTTGTTGGAAAATTTAAACGCCAACGCGTTTTGTAAGCCACATAAGCGGAGCTGCAGCCACAGCCACAGGCACACACACACACACACACACCCACACACACACAAAGTCAGTCGCTGCTCATCACGACTGTTATGATGTGCTCACCGAGTGGCTTCGTTTTCGTTTTAATCGCAATTTTAATTTGGAATTGTTTGCATTTGGGTTGTGCCGTGCATGACAGCAGTAGTAATAGTGGTAGCAACAACAACAGCAACAGTAACAACAACAATAATAACAAGTCAAGTGTTAGCAATCGTTTTTGGTTCAGCAACAAAAACACAGCGAACCACAATCGCTTGTTGCCCGAGCCCGGCGGACGCTTAGCTGTTGCTCGAAATGTAAATGATCGCAAAAGTGGTAATATCAGCAACAGTAATGGCAACGATCGCAGCGGCGATAAAATTGGTAGCACCCACAATAGCCTCAGCGTCAGCAACACCAAAACCAAGTCCAGCAACAATGACGCTGTTCGCGGTCGGCGTTTGCGCATTGATATCACGCGGAAGCACAGCGTTCATCTGAATGGTGTCGAGGTAAGTTCAGTTCTCTATTTGGCTGTTACGTATGTACGTGTATGTAAGTACCCTTGCGGGTCAGCAGATTTTTCTTTGACATTGAATTGAAGCTAACCATAATAACCAAGTACAAGACTAAATAAAAGCTTGGTGGTCAGAATGTAAGTAGATAAAATTAAAAATTGTTTTGTCTCAGATTGTCGTATGATATTCGTACCAGAAGTGGGCCAAGTTTGTGTTTATATATAGAAATGTTGTTGGATCTTCTTCTTCCTCATTGGCGTAAGCACCGCTTATGCGATTTTAGTTCCTTATCTTTACTGTTTGACGTCAGCTGGAAATATCCAGGGAAACCTGATCCTCTCTACCTGATTCTTCCAACGAAAGCTTTCCTCAGCGGTTACTTCATCGAACACTTTCAAAGCTTGAAAGTTTCCATCCGTTCGGATGACATATTCTATCCAGCGTTGCCGTTGTCTCTGCATTCGCTGAATTATATCAATGCCGCCGTATAATTCGTACAGCTCATCGTGACTTCGGCTGTGATATTCACAGTTCTCAACGCCATTAATCTTCCACTAAATCTTTTTTTCGGAAACTCTGACTCATCAGATGTTGCCATTGTCCATGCCTCTGTAACATACAGCAGGACAGAGATTATGCGGGTCGTAGAATTTGGTTTTTGTTCGTTGAGAGAGGACTGTACTTCTTAAATGCCTGTTGAGTCCAAAATAGCACCTGTCGGCATGAGTGATCCGGATATCAAGGCACGAAATTATCTATCATGACTGTCAACATTGACGAGAGAGCCGAATCGCGAATGTGATCTTTATCCATGAATAAGGTCGAATAGCAATCGGCAGCTTGAAAAACAACAAGACGACGGAGGCTGGCTGATTGCCGATGATTGGAACCTAAGTATGCTCTATCGAATCTAAAAAAGAGCGTTCCCATATTATGCGCCAATTACCGTGGGATAAGCCTCCTTAATAACGCGTATAAGGTCCCATCAAGCGTATTGTGCAAAAGACTAAAGCCCACCGTAAACAAACTAATTGGACCTTATCAGTGTGGCTTTAGAACCCGTGTAAAGAAGATTGCCACATACCATCGCTTCGCTGGTTTTAAAGTATCCTTCGACAGCACGAAAAGGCAGCTCGGCATTGTGTCTTAATTTGGTATACCCACAAAAAACTGATGTTAAGCAACAACAAAAGCTTCGTCCGAATGGGTTTGGAATGTGGACAATATTTCAAAATGTCATTATACAAAAAGTAATTGTATTTGCGACGCGATGTCCATATAAATTCGAGGTCACAGGTAATTTCGTCTATCTAGGGAGTAGCATTAACACCAACAACAACGTCAGCTTGGAAACCCAAAGGAAAATCGTTCTTGCCGGCAGGTGTAACTTTGGGCTGAGTACACCGTAGAAAAGTAAAGTCCTCTCTTCACTAACTGAGATGAAATTCTGCTAGTTACTCATCACTCTCGTCCTGGTATATGATGAGGAGCTCTGCACACTGACATCATCTGATATGCCGATGTTAGCAGTTTTCGAGAGAAGCGTTTGTACGATTTTAGAACGCCAACATGTCAATATGAAAAGACAACGGCGAGGGTCACAGCCAATTGAACGACGACCTTGCCTTGGTTCACCGGCTTAGGAGACAGCGGCTATGCTGGCTAGATCATGTAAACCTAATGGATGAGAACACGTCAGTAAAGAGGAGGAAAAACTAATTTTTCATACCCACCTTATAAAATAACTTCAAAATAGTTTTAAATCCTCAACGCATTTGGGCAATAAATAATTCATAAATATGTAATTCGCTGTCGCAGGGTTAAAAACGCAAATAACCAAAAATATTTACATATAAATTGAAATTAATTCGAGAAATAATCAAATAAATGCAAATCAAAACTATAAAATTGTAGACTCATTTTGTAGGCAATAAATCTATGCACACACAGCAAATACTGTAAAATAGAATATTTAATATAAAACTTGTATGAAAATGTGTTACGCCATCAAATAGGTTAGGTTATTTAGAGTCAATGTTCAACCTTCGCTAACTCCAGAAATGCTTGCACATTCTTGGCTTTTGTTTCAATATCCACTATTCTCTATGTACATTTATAGTTGTATTGAGTTAAGCACCATTTTTCTGCGTCTCAACCATTATTCGAAACACAGTTCTCTAACAAACATAATGCACATACATATTATAAACGTGTATATATATTCACATACATTGTACATACGAGTATGATTTTGTTCTTCAAATGGCACTTTTCATTAATTTGCTTAAGCTGTGTGGTGGCACACTTTGCAACGCCTCAGAGATTCGCTTTGAGTTCATTGTATGCAGAAGCGTTTTCTAACTTCATTCAGCAAAATAAATAACAGTGTTTAGGTTTAGTTCAGAAAACTGCTATGGAAAATTCCATTGTGACAGTTGAAAGAATTTATTGGTATCTCTTTGTGTACTGCGCTAAATGAAGGAAAAGGGGAAAAATGAAGCAGCTTTTTTCGCTACTAAAGAGTGGCAACTGGAATTGCATTAAACAAGCAAGATATGCTGATCTCTTCCATGCCAACGCCTTTATACCTCTCATGATCATATCAAATTTATTTGTATAAGGACTATATGATAAAGCCCTCCGTTTTCGATGATTTTTGGTGTTAATGTTTAATTGTATATCTTGGTTGATTGGTTGCTTGAAATTGCTGCCGGGCATCAGCTCACCTAGGACTCAAGTGAGCCCATTGTGATACCACTGGGAATCCTAATGACTCTCACGTGCTAATCGAACCAGCGTGTAGAGTTTGCAAAACTAAGCAGTCGTCGCATCAGGTCACCAAAGGTTGCTGGCCTTAGAGTTTTCAAACTACTACTGCAAAGTACGGGGCATTCGCAGAGAAAGTGCCTTAAAGTTTCAGGTTCTCCTGCATGTCTGCAACTTGGCAGAAATCGTTGAATAGTATGCCGAACCTCTCTGCGTACCAGGCCAATAGAATGTGTCCTGTAAGAAGATGTTTTATTGTAGATATCTCTTTTCTTTTTAGCTCGATAAGTTTCGTAATCTGCTTCCATGCCATTCTGGCCAAATTGTCTTGACCACAATATATGTATTGAAACTTCTCCATCTTAAGTTAGCTTCCTTAGTTAATAACTGTCATGTACTGAGCATACAAATGGAGAGCGGCACGCCTAAGCTCTTTCATGATAGCGAAAGGGGAAGCAGAGTGCCCTTCTTTGCAAGCTACTCTCCCATCTCATTGCCCGGTATGTTACTGTGTTCAGGTAACCATACAAGGTTCAGAGAGAACTGCTCAGTCATTGCATTAAGGGATCTACGGTAGTCCTCTACGCTTTTAGATTCTTTTGTTACAGACGCCAGGTTGCATTGGCTATCGAAAAAAATACATATTAGTATTAGAGCGCACCATTGACTTGAGGCCACCAAATCCGCTCGAAAAACACTGCAGTGGTGCGGTAAACAAAGGAATTTACAGATACCAAGATTTTTTGCGTTCGCTTTCGAACCTGTTATCTAGTCTGGTCCCGTTAGTATAAAAATTAGACAAGAACTTAGCTTTGCTGAAGAGAAGGGCTTGTAATTATGTCTTAAAAATGATTTCGGGGAATGACTGCCGCAGATGGCACGAATTCATTCTGTTCAAAGGGTTTAGTTTTCGTACGTTAGTACGTCGACTTCATGTAACACTAAAAACAAATATTCCGCCAATGTTAAAACGCAGGATCTTGGAGCCCACACTGCCGGCCCAAGACGCGCGATAATGCGCTCATCAAAAGTCACCTTTAATAAATTATTTGTTTCTATGACCGTGAAGCTTGTAGCGTCATCTTTTTGGAAGCAAACGTCATCCACATCAACAGCCAGGCTCTAAAGCGTTCTCCATTGACTGCGACATTATGGCCGGCTTAATTGTTGAAAAGGTATGCACCAGTGATCCCCTCTGCCTATAGAGCACAACAAATAGTGACTTTTAAATGATGAACCGGCATCTCAAAAATGAGCAGTGAGTGAGTTTCATCGAAGAACAACATTTTCTTGTGACAAGTGGGATCGGTGACTATCTTGTTTTGAGGCCATTCACCGAACGTGTGACGCGCTTCGTGGCGGATGGGCAATAGCGTTTTACTTGCGCACAGTATGGCTACTCTGAGAATGCGCATTATCCATTGGAGTAAACAGATTTATGGTTGCTCGAATTACCAACTGCGCTGAGAGATTATTTTGTTTGAAGAGTGTTGTCTTATTGAATCGGACATTTAAAAGTAAACCGTAAAACGGTATACATTAATATAAGTTTTAGATACTCTAATAATTTTTTGTTTAATTATCGAAATGGAAAGGCATTTTTTCTTCAATGTTATAAATCAATTCATGAATCAAAATTTTAGTAGCTCAATAATTGCTCATAAAAATTATTTGACAAACTGAAGCATTTTATGTAACCAAATTAAAGCTGAATTTGGTATATTTTTTTATCAAATCATTCATTAGCGCATCACCCACTTTTACTTGGCATTCCGAAATAAGTATGCTTACACACACACACACACACACACACACACACACAGAGTTTAAATTAAAACAATGACTGCAAACCTTTTTCAAAAATTTTCCTGGGTGAGCTAAGGTTTATTACCCAATCTATGCAATAATAACAACAGTTATAACTGTATTCAGAAAAATAGAAAAGAAAAGAAAAGAGCAAAGAGGAAAAAATATCATTTTAATGCATTTTCTGAATTCACCATCGCCAGTATTTACATAAATTACGTCAGTTTGGCCAAAAAGCGTGAAAATTGTGTGCAAATCTAAGAAAATAAACAAATAAAAGCCGCTGCCAGCAGACGAGCTATGAACAATTATAAAGGTTTTTAATGACTTTAAAGACTAGAGAAATATTTTGTATATCTTTTTTAATACATACAAAGTAATGCAGTAACGAACTTTCCCCATTTATTAAGACGGTTGGTATT